GCATTGCACCTCATTTAACTTAGATCAGTTATTCTGCTCAGGGCTGGTGCACTGCGGGGATGGTGGGTGGAGAAAGGAAGGAAGCTGTCTTGGTTTTGAAACTGGTTTCTCTTTTTTTTTTTTTTTTTTATTGCACAGCTAATGCCATTAAAGGGGAACAAAAGCAATGGCGTCTGCTCAGTTAGAAAAACAGCAGGCTGATAAAATGTCTCTGAGGCGTTCAGTGATGCTATAGGGTGTAGATGAACCATCTCAGTCATCATGCTCATGATTTGTGATGTACCATACCCGTTGGTGGTTGGAAACAAACCCTAGAGAGGGCTGGATGACTTCCTCACTGGTGTATAAAGGCTTTCTGATCCTGACTTTTTCCCATTTTCTTCTTTTAATTGAAGCTGAATTGTTAGTAAATGAGAGCTACTGCAGGTTAGCTAAGGTCTGGTTCAGCAACCAAAGTGATTTACATCTGGTTTCACAGAGAACAGAGGTGGTACAAGAGCTCGTGGCAGCTTTGCCTGCAGAGGGACTGAGGTCTTCAAAGGCTGGATAACCAGGGGAAGGTCTGGATCCTTTCACAGCTCAGCAGATGGCTGCGCTCAATCAGCCATGCCCTCCAGTGTATATCCTGTGCTGGTTTGGGAAGAATAAAGATATCAAATAGAGTTGAAAAAAAATGAAGAAAAAAAATGAAAGGAGATTTCCATATTCTACACTGTTCTCATGAACACAGAGAAACTTTGAATCTATGGTTGAGATAGCAGATACACCTTTGATTCGTATGAGTGAACTTTTTTAATTTGCAGGGGAGACGTTGTGCAACAGTGAACTTTGTGATTTAGCAAAAGGAAGCAGAGTTGAGAGAAGCAGCAGCCCACAATCCAATGTAAAATCTTTAAAAACTGTTTATGATGCTACTTCAAAGCCTCCTGTGTACTGCTGAATATGTTAAGGACTAGAAGTTACACGAAAACCATTTGATTAAATCTGTGAAGTAGGCTAACTCATTTTCCAAACCAGTGGCGTGTTTGGATATATTTTGCATTTACATCTTTTCCAGGGGCTATGAATGGGTTATTTGTTGAAAACTCTACAGGTTTTCAGAATGCTTGAGAGTATCAGGTAAAAGTATCCCCTCCGATACATATATACCTGCAAAACTTTGCAAGAGGGGTAAAAATTATCACCACTAGTCCTTCTCTGCTTAGAAACCTCTCAGTATTACTTACTCAGCGGTGCTATAAAAGTCACACTTGCAGGATTCAGCTCTCCTGTTCACCTTCATCCAAAGTTGGCAACTAGAATTTTTATATGCTGGTATTTATAGCACCACTTGCTTTGTGTAGTAGAGCCCAGTTGTTAGGGCTGAAGTGAGATCCCCGTCCCGGATCGTTTGTGGATTAAAGGCACAGTGAGCTTGTCTTGACTAAAAAACTGTCAATGCTTCATTTTACTAGCCTTTTTTTTTTTTTAATTATTTTTTTTTAACCCCCATGGCACTATGTTGGTTTTGTTGCAAGAAATTTGTCCGTGAGTATTAATTAGTTTGTCTGTGGTCTTTGAAGTGTGCTGGGTTTTCTCCTAGATGTGTTCCCTGCTTTATTTTAGAAAGGACACCTTTTATTTTCTGAGCTGTAAGGAGGATTAAGGAAACTAATCTAAGTGTAAGTCAGTGAGTAACGCTCGGAGAAAAGGCACCTAGCCCTGTGGGTCAAAGGAAACCAAAAAGTGATCCCTTTTTGGGATCATTACAGTATTTAGACATTTAATCCCAGTGGAAACCAGAGGGAATTTGCCCCTTAAGTAGGTGCTGGGGTCTTAAGTGCCTTTGAGACCATCAGTCCTGCTGCTGTAAATTGCTGAGAGCATCCCCAGTTCACTGGGGCCTGATGGCTGGTTCTGGCAAACCGTACTGGGGTTTAGAAAAGGAGGGACAAGGTTAGGAAATCTGTAACACTGCAGCTCCTAGGCACACTAGTTTAAGAAAAAAAAAATCTGTTTTGCAGATTCCAAACCAGGAGGCAAGCTGATGGTCATGGACCAAGATACTGAATGGGAATAGCAAGTGTTGGGAAGGGCTCTGGGTTTTTTATAGTGCTGCTCTGGACTAAACTTGTTCTGTCCTAGTTGGCACGAGGATTAAATTTCTGTATGGAGGCTGATGGCATTTGGGTTCCTGAGTTAGGCCTGGGCAAAAATTAAAGCGTTTTTTTAATGCGTTTAAAATCTAATTTTCACGTAAATAAACAGCTGGAAGTACTTAGTACCACTTAAAGAATTCACTGTGTTTTAATGTTACCGTAATTCCAGATACACTGAAAAACCAGGTTGCCTACAGACTGGAAAAAACCTGAATAAACTGAATAAAAATGGGTGGCTGTTCTGCTTGGTACTAACTTCAGGGCTCATTTGATATGATTAAGGATCCGGGTAGTTTAAGGTCCCTGGGTTTGCTGTACAGGGAAATTAAGGCAAAGCCATGTCCCATTGTCATGCTCATAGTGGAAATTAGAAATTAGGTAGATTTTTTTTTTTTAAAGATTTTAAGGGACTTGAGAGTTGCTGATGGGGAGGACGTAGGTTTTGCTAGTGAGATATTTCAGCCAGTTCAGTGTAAAATGTCAGTGTAGCCAGTATGGAACCCCTCACTGAAGGGATTCTGGCCTTTGACATGCCTTAAACTAGTGACTTCAGTGGTTTTACTGGCCAGGGTTTATATATCGTCTGAAAAGAGACTAATTTTATTTTTTTTTTTTTAATTCTTAATATCATAAATCTTTCGGCATATTTTTGATTTTGTAGTGCCTAAAGTAACAGTCAAAATATGACAGATGCTTACCAGCTGTACTCAGCTTTGTATCTTAAATCACTTGCACTACAAGTACAGTTTGTCTTGGGAAATAGGTTGGTTTAAAAAGTTATAAACTGCCGATGATGACAAATTAGAAGGTCGTTAAGGAGAAAGGGAGGATAGCCGAAGATGCATTTACATTCCTAGAGAATTTTTCAGTATTTCTCATGAAATATGAAGGAGTGAAACTAAAGTAGATCCTTTGCAATATAGGGGGGAAAAAAAAAAAAAAAAAAAAAGGAAAAAAAAAGGATTCAATGTGTGTTCCTGGTGCTTTTTTCTCATGCCAGTGCTTCTGGCTGGTTGTTGTTCTCAGGGGAAAGTTTGGATTCTTCAAATCAGTTTTCAGAAAAAATTATCACGTGGCTAAAGTGACTGTTACACCCAGCAAAAGACCAGCAACAAGAGTAAAAAAATTAAAGGACAAACCGTCATCTGAAATTTATCTACAGACCAGATTGGAAGAACACTTGAGAATAACAGTTACATGAGGAAAGAAAACAATGCTTTGTGGATGACTCGCAGATAGTAGGAAAAGGATAAATTGAGTTCAGTATTTAAGGTCAAATCTACTATATGGAAAGTTGTCAGAAATCCAAAGCATTGATCTAGTTTAGGGTTAAACACTTTTTTTTTTTTTTCAAGAAAATATCTGCGAGTATTTTTTGCAAAACGGCAGGTTTTTGGTTTTGTTCATTTTTTTCTTGCTAACTCTTGAAATATTTTATTGCTTGAGAACATATTCTAGAATTAGTACAGAAAACCAGAACTGCTCAAATCAGTGTAGTCGAAACAACTGTGATTTAAATAAGCAAAGAGAAATATTATGCAAAAAATATTAATTATTTTAATGATGGTTTTTCCTAAGGGATAGTTACATTCGTTGTAACCATTCAAGTGTGGGAAAATATTAAATTTTTTCTTGTGGTTTTTTCCGATTGCAGGAGGAATTTGGAGTGTAATTACAAGGGATAAAACAAACCTTATACGAGTTTTTAAACCTTTTTGTTTTTTTCACTTGGCAGTAAGAATCGGCTTCCAGCGTGAGGAAATCTGAGAAAATATGCTCTTGTTTTTTAATCTAGCTGCTTTAGTAAACAAAGGAAATGTTGTTTGTGAGCAGAACTCGGGTTTCTTGTTTCCATCTCTTTCAGAACGTTACAGCTAATAGACCTTTCCCTTTCCAATTCTGTTTTTGCTTACAAATTTGATGCACAGCCTTGGCCCGACAAAGGCTTTCCTGCCTTTTCACCTCCTGCATTCCCAAATATTGATTTGATCGTTCACTGAACTGACCCCGTTGGATAAACTGAAATAAGGAAAGTTTATCAGTGCTGGTTTGGAAGTAGCAAACTTTGAGTTAAGTTGCTCACAGTAGGTTGTTCTGTGTAATAAGTGAAAAGGCAGTTTTATTGAATGATATTGTTAAATAATTCAGATTAGTATTTAAATGACAATAACTAAAACTCTTCATCCACCTTGAAACAGAGAAGAATGGACGTGGTGGACTATTTTTGCAGTTTAACTCTTCTGAAACTTTAATTTGTTACAAGTGAAGCTTTTTAGTAGGAGACAACTACGGTTGGAGATGAATAGGTTAGTTCTAGCCCTAAGTAAAAAAATGAAGGATTTGGGTTGAATTGTGATCTCAACAGAAACGTTCGGGTGGTTCAGTAACTTTGGCATCTGGTTGGATTACTGAAAACTTGCAGAGAAAAGCAGCAAACGGAGCGATTAATACAAAACTCCGAGGACTAAATGTTACTCTCTGTGATTGTAGGGCCCAGACTGGGTGACACACATGTTCTCGGTCCACTTTATGTTCCTGTGAAACAATTCAAGAAACAGCTGTTAGTTCAGTTTTAAACCTTAGCCCGTCTGTGTGTGGGATCTTTTAGTTGTTCTCCAGATTCACAGAGAAAAATGAAAGGTGGCAAAAGGCGTGAGGACTCGGAGATGGGGAGAAGCAGTGGACAAAAGGGAGACCCACAAAGGATGAGGAAAACCCCAGCAGAGGCAAATGTATCCAAACCCTGCCCGCTGTGACACGTGCCGTGAGAAAAGGATGCAGCGGGTAGTCAGAATGGCAAATAGATTGTAACCAGAAATGCTCGAGGAAGAACTAATTATTTCTCACCTCTCTTCTTTTCAGGGTATGGCATTTACATTACATGAACGACAGATGCTTGGGTTGCAAGGACTTCTACCTCCTAAAATAGAGACACAGGACATTCAAGCCTTACGTTTCCATAAGAATTTGGCAAAAATGACTGACCCCTTGGAAAAGTAAGCGCTCCTCTGGCCTTGTTGTGTCACGCAAGTAACTGGAAATTGCTATAAAATATTGCACGGGGATAAACAAACAATGTTTCTGTGCCTCCACTGGGTTTTTCAGTTGTTGGTTATTTTTATTTTTGCCCAGAAAACTGCTTTCATCAATTGTCCATTCATCATGTGGCTGAATGAGGTTGGGGAGCCTTTTTTTTTTTCAAACCTTGCTGCGATATGTAACACGCGTTTCTGTAATATTCTGTAAGATTTAAGTGGCAGGTTGTCAGAGGAGAGAACTCTTGAGGGGAGAGGAGGGGGCAGGTAGCCCATGCTAGAATGAAGGTAAATTGAGGGTTTGATGATTAGGTATGAAAAACCGTGTTTATCATATACAGTAGTTCCTGCTAGAAAGGAATTACAGGGTGAGAATTTTGAGTCTCATAATGTGTAATTTTTTTTAGATCATTTTTTTGTTGTTGTTTAGCCCGCTGGTTTGCTAAAAGAAATGTGAAGGGTTTGATTTTTTTTTTTTTTTGTTTAGACAGGCATGTTTTTAGCATCCTGTTACAGTTTTCCTCTAAGCCTGTGTATATCTGCATGTAAAAATACGCTGTCTCTAAAGGCAAGAGGAACGCCGGAATGGTTTGAAGCTTACTGGACCACATCAAAACCCTTTTGTTCTCATGAAAACGGAAAGATGACTTTTAAATCCACATCATGGCACTTGCTGATCTGCAACAGTCATGTCATCCGTATTGGCAAAATGCCTGGTTGGTATAGCCTAAGATGAGCCACTAATTCATTGTCTTGATGTTGTTGGGTCAGCAAGACTGAATACCAATTGATACATGGCAGATTGTAGGTAAATTTGCAAAAATGCAGGTTTAATTTACACACCTAGGTTAAGTCCATAAATGAACTTTCTGTTAGGAGTTAATTTGGTTTACAGCTGTGTTAAACGTTAGGATTAACAAGACCTCACTGTCAATATCTTACTTTCGAGGGATGAAAAATTCTTTCACTGATAATTTTTTTTTTTTTTTAAACAGTAATGAGACTCCCAGCTGCATCCTGTAATCAATCCATGGGTTATCTTTTATCCCAATGCACATTTGCACATGAACTTGTTAGCATGCGTGGTGTGTCAGTATTTTTATTTCAGCTTTTTAGTACTGCTGCTCTCTCTTTTCCAGCTTTTGTTTGTTGCTCAAAGCCCGACTCAGGTGGAAGCAGGAATTCCATGGAGAATTATTACATGGAGAATTATTGGGGCTTGCTTTGACATTTTTCACGGTGTTTTAAATAAGCATAAATGTGAAACAATAAGTGGTTGTTTTTTGTTTTTTGTTTTTTTTTCTTTTGCTTAATTTCAGGTATATTTACATAATGGGAATCCAAGAGAGAAATGAAAAATTATTCTACAGGGTGTTACAAGATGATATTGAGCGCTTAATGCCAATTGTATATACACCAACTGTAGGCCTGGCCTGCTCCCAGTATGGACACATCTTCAGGAGACCAAAGTAAGAACAATAGATAAATATTGCTGCTACTCTTCGTATCATTTTTTCCGTGTACTTGCCTAAGGTTTGGAAAGGTTTTATTTCATTTTCATTTGGATTCAGCTACACAAGACTCGGTGCCAGTTCAGGGCAGTAAAAGTCCATTAGATAATATCTCAAAACCCAGTTTATATTGGAAAACACAACATTTGAAAACAGAAGTGGTGATGTGGCACGTAAATACCACGCATGCAGGGCTTCAGCCTCATTTCCAGCTCTTCCTAAATGCCATGCAGCTCTTTAATTCCGAGGGGAGTGCTGTGGCTTTCTCCAGCTCTCAGAATCACATCTGAGAGTCTGAGGATCTGTATCAGCTGTCAGTTATTCTGCCACAGCTTGGCTGGGATCTGGTTTGGCTTCAGCAGTGACTTCAGAACAACCGTTCAGGTTATTAGTTTCGTGTGGAGGACACCAGTTCAGACTGGCAGTCATTTCAGCTCATTTCCAGAGTGTTCTCAATGCAATTCAATGTATTTCTAGAGCCCTCTCACTTGAAGGCTTGAGTGCTGTGTGGAGGAAGGGCTAATGCTTCGCTGCTGTGAGGACTCGGCTGTGTAGTGCAGCTGCTGTGATAAAGACAGTAAGAAACTCATGATTTTGCTCCTGATCTGGGGCAGGGGATGTAAAAGAAACTGGAGGGTTCAGTCTGGAGAAGAGGAGGCTGAGGGGAGACGTCCCGGCCCTCTGCAACTCCCTGCCAGGACGGGGCAGAGAGGGGGGATGAGTCTCTGGAGCCAAGG